GCAACCCTGTGAGTTTATTTCTAGAGGCCTATTGCAGACATTAGCATTTTAAAAGAGGCCTATTGCCTCCCGCGCGGGCCCGCTCTGGAAGGTGAAAAACGCCCCGCTTTCCCGCTAAATTTGGAACGCACATGGGGTAGTAACAGCATATAGAGTGAACTCCCACCCGGGGTAGTACTGTTGTAGACTATCGAAATGAGCGACCGAACTAGCAGACGACATATTGGAAATCACACGATCAGGTGACGAGTGACGTCATCCCCGGGCACTAGTTGATGTGTAGTCTCCCTAGAGAACTAGTAATTTCCCTGGCGCTACTATGGTAATTTAGCAGATAACACGTGATCCCGTTTTGACCAATTACAGTACAGTATTACAGTATTACATGTAACGAGTGATGTTATAAATTGTCATGGAGGGCAGTACTATTGTTGACTATATTGTCATGGAGGGCAGTACTATTGTAGACTGTATTGTCATGGAGGGCAGTACTATTGTAGACTATATGTCATGGAGGGCAGTACTATTGTTAGACTATATTGTCATGGAGGGCAGTACTATTGTAGATTATACTGTCATGGAGGGCAGTACTATTGTTGACTATATTGTCATGGAGGGCAGTACTATTGTAGATTATACTGTCATGGAGGGCAGTACTATTGTAGACTATATTGTCATGGAGGGCAGTACTATTGTAGACTGTATTGTCATGGAGGGCAGTACTATTGTAGACTGTATTGTCATGGAGGGCAGTACTGTTGTAGACTATATTGTCATGGAGGGCAGTACTGTTGTAGACTATATTGTCATAGAGGGCAGTACTTTCGTAGTTATCACGAGTAGAATGCATCAGTCTACTGTTGTAGCCATGGTAACACATTTTACTAAATCGAATGTACTAGTGTAATAGGCCATGGAGCTAAAAAGATCTTTTTTTAGCTCCATGAATAGGCCAACGCTGATCCGTCTTAACGAAACCTATGTCTATCCACGGTTACTAGAAGAACTTCTAGTAACCGTGGTCTATCTAACTGTAACTTCAGTGGTAACACGGTCACTAGTAACTGCGGTGGTACACGTACTCACCTTTATGCCGTTCATTAGAAGCCTTTCCGCGATTCCCCGACCGATGCCTTCAGCGCCTCCAGTTATAAGTCCAACCTTCTCGCTGTATTCCATTATACAACCGAACTATACTGACTGTGAGTACGCATGTAGGTCAATGTGTTATTACGTGTACATACTGCGCCATCAGGGGGTGTCAACAAATAGAAAATACCCGTATTCTACATATACGTATCAATGGTTCAAAGGTCATGTTGAATAGTGTACGCTGGCGAGCCCGCCGTAGCATGGAGATAAAAACAGATCCATGACCGTAGGGACATCTGTTACGTGCTCAATATGTTTACCTATAGTCTTTCATTTGCATATACTTTTAAACGATATACATTTTTCGGTCGGCGTTTTTTTTTCTTTTTTGTTGTCTATTTTATTTTCATTTTTTTGAGAGAGACAGTTTTTAGATGTTGTGTTGTGGGCAGTTGCAGTGAAACGTATAACCATAGTGTATGTATTCACACGTTTCTAATCGATCCAAAGGTGCGACATCACTTAACCTTAGATTCATTCAACTGTTTTCGTCCATAAAAAACGACTAGGTTTAAAGAGAAACGCCGACAACGTAAACCTGGCGCAACACTTTTGAAAGAAATAGATTCTGGATCAGCCCATGATCACCGAGGCGGATTTCAGAAGAGAGAGAGACGTCCGGCAAGTGTTTCAAATGAGTTGACTTTTTTGGATCGTGATTAGCAATAATTTTGACAGTGACACGAAAACGAAGCGTCGGACAAACAGGAAATTACACAGCCCTTACACACTGCTAATTGTTTTCATTTTCGAAGGCTAAAAGTTTCTGAATTGTTTGGTGGTGTTGAATGTCGAATTCACACCACTGTTCTTTTTTTACCTCCATGCTTGCAGCTTGATCTGCGTAATAATTTATGAAATAAGAATCCGGGCTTGGTCAATGTGTTTCCACCAAATAAAGTGTTAATACGATGTTATAATTATGACAATCACGCCATGGATCAAGCTAACTCGAATCCAGTCTAAATTTATCTGTATGTGTGTCGATCTCGATTATTTTTGTTATCCAATTAAACGCCACTTTTAACGCACTTGCCCTAGCCGTGACCCTACGCGTTCACCTATTTCAACAAAATGTCAATTCATTTCCACGCGGCTGTCATTTATTTAGTAACTGTGATTTGTCGTTTTTTTTTTTAATTATTTTATAGTGATCACTATAGTCTAATGTTTAGAATGTCAAAATATGTTCTCTTTCATTTTAATTTTGAAAGTTTTACACAGACGATCGATGAAATAAAACAGTGTAGTGACGTGCCTAGTAACCTGCTAAATAACGAGATAATTCCGACGTCAATTTCTATTTTGTCCAGCAACAGTGTACAAACGTGCGCCGGTGTCGGTGACGATCACGGTGACCAGCTACACCAGAACGGACATATTTCGCATCTAACTCAATCCCATGCAACAAAAATTGATACTATATGTTCATTATGGTCCATTCTTCCTCGACGAACAAGTACATAAGTGACAATATAGTCAAAGACGAGAAAACTGCACAAGAAATTTGCCTTATTTACACGTATCGGCAATGCAAGCTGCCATGCGACTTCCCCTTCTGACGTCACAAGGGGAATTTCTGTATACAAACGAGGAGCCTCGTTTTAAAATATACAAAAATAAAGTTGCGGTAGACTAAGTTTAAAACACATTTTTTCACTTAAAAACG